CATGACATATCTCTGAACATATATTAGGTTCACCGCACCGTACCATGTCGTCCACTATTGTGTCATCATTGATGGAAAAGGTCAAACTAATTAGATTTCCATGTCGAAATGGTTTCGAAACATCCGTATAATCACCAAAACAGGAGCGTGTGTCTATGAAACTCTTTATAACATAACATGTTGACAAAATTTGGCTTCAGCAGATGAAATTTACTTTAAATAGTATATAATCAATCAGCGTCTAGTATAGCTGTCAAAGTCAATAACACTTTTACGGCAATAAAACATGTTTGAACTTAACCAAGTTATTTGTTTTAATTGAGAATGGGTTTATAGATTGGATGTGTACATTAGTGTCGTTCTCGATGGTACGAAGATAAGTATCAATCAATTCCATCACAAATCCATGCTTGCGGGGTTTTTTTTATTTATCGTCTTCCATCTAAATTGACAAACAACATTTTCTCCCATCCTTCACAGTTGTGTCTCCCATTTTAGCCGTGGAAAATCAGCGTATCACCCCATAGGTGGAGATAGCCTTGTGCCGACTAGCACGTGTTCAATTGTGACGTCATAAAATGTGTCACCGATAATTGTAGCGTCATCAAAAGTGAATGACGATATTCATACCCCACATGTGTTTTTGTTTACGCTACTGTCGGTAGAGTTGTGACTGAAATAATAGGATGGGAGAAAATATGTATCCCTACCTTAAGGGTGTAACAGAGAAACCAAAACACATCACCCCTCTGGTTGGAGATTTCTCTGTCACACCTTCAAGGTAGGGGAAGTTTCTATCAATCATCTTAATGCCTCTACAATAAATATTTGTATGAACAAGATTGGTGATATTGATGAAAAATAAGGCGGATAAGCTACCCATATTAAATAAATTACTCACCATGGAGGACCTAACAGTTTTTAGCAATTGCAAAAAGATGTGAAATCTGAAGTTCATCACCAATGCTTTGTGATGTTAAATATATTTTTGTTTGTTTGTTTGAATAATTCATTTTAGTTCACGCTATTGCATATTCCTATTAATTTAAGAAGTAACCTCTTCAGTAGTACGCAGGTTTTAGCGAGATAGAGTTACTTCCCTTGGTGCAAGAAACATCACCGACGCCATGGTTGTCAGAGAGAGTTATTTCCCTTCTGCGGGTAATCACCAGTTATAATACCTCCATTCTTACAGACAATATGGGAGGGGAGGGGGGCATCGGTAACACACATTATCTCGTCCTTATCACGTCGAATGTCGTGGTAACAGTTATTGATACTGTGTCGTCTATTGTTTTGTACGGGATTCCGTATGACAGCCATGGTAAGGAAACGACAGTGTTGATCTACAATCTAACTAGTATCTTTCATCTAAATATTCTTGGTTCTGTGTTTAATTTCCCCATTGAAGTGGCCGATTCAAAATCAAACTGGCCGATAATCCTTTTTAAGGGATTAATGTAGCGCTCTTTCATATAAAACTGGAGATACCGATCAATTGCAAATTAGCACAATTTTAATGGACATCCATGATCATCCTCGATATTCAGGGGTTACGCTCACTTTCGCTCTCTACCCCCCTGGATTTTGTCATAGCAAAATTGAAGGCTCAGTGTGCACCACCTTGTTGATGAGACGAGAAGATTATCTCGATACTTTGATGTACATCAAAAGAATCCCGCGGTCGCGTAACGGTAAAAACTAACTAACTTTAATGTCGGGTGTCGCCCCTTTATATTATTCAAGGGACAGGTACCAGCCTAGCGATTGGTCAAGTTTTTCTTCATCTGAGACCAATCAAACAGCTATATTCATGCCTTCAATTTTGCTTTGACATATTCCAGTTGTGCAGAGAGCGTACGTGAGCGTAACCCCTGGATATCAAGGATGGCGTAACGCCTAAGTATCGAGGAGTTCGTACTGGATATCAAGGATGGAGTACTGGATATCAAGGATGGCGTAATGGATATCGAGGATGGCGTACTGGATATCAAGGATGGCTTACTGGATATCGAAGATGGCGTACTGGATATCGAGGATGGCGTACTGGATACCGAGGATGCGTATTGGATATCGAGGATGGCGTACTGGATATCGAGGATGGCGTACTGGATATTGCGGATGGCGTACTGGATATCGAGAATGGCTAAATTAGATATCGAGGATGGCGCACTGGATATCGAGGATGGCGAACTGGATATCAAGGATGGCATACTGGATATCGATGATGGCGTACTGGATATAGAGGATGGCGTACTGGATATCGAGGATGGCTAAATTAGATATCGAGGATGGCATAATGGGTATCGAGGATGGCGAACTGGATATCAAGGATAGCATACTGGATATCGAAGATGGCGTACTGGATATAGAGGATGGCGTACTGGATACCGAGGATGGCGTATTGGATATCGAGGATGGCTAAATTAGATATCGAGGATGGCGTACTGGATATCAAGGATGGCGTACTGGATATCGAGGATGGCTAAATTAAATATCGAGGATGGCATAATGGATATCGATGATGGCGTAACCCATAGATATTAAGGTGCCGTACTGGATATCAAGGATGGCGTAACCTCTGAATATCAAGGATGGGGTAACCCCTGGATATCGAGGATGGCGTACTGGATATCGAGGATGGCTTGCTGGATATCAAGGATATCAGGGGCTATCAATGGAGGGCGTAGTCCCTAGAAATCGAGGATGGCGTACTGGATATCAAGGATGGCGTACTGGATATCAAGGATGGCGCAATGGATATCAAGGAAGGCGTAATTGATATCAAGGATAGCGTAGACTCTTGATATCGAGGAGGGCGTAACCCTAGATATCGAGGATGGCGAACTGGATATCAAGGATGGCGTACTGGATATCGAGGATGGCGTACTGGATATCGAGGATGTCGTCCTGGATATCGAGGATGGCGTTTTTGATACCGAAGATGGTGTAGTGGATATCAAGGATGTCGTACTGGATATCAAGGATGGCGTAGCCCCTGGACATCGAGGATGGCGGACTGGATATCAAGAATGGCGTATCCCCTGGATAATAAGGATGGCGTAATGGATATCAAGGATGGCGTTGCCCCTGGATATCAAGGATGGCGTAGCCCCTGGATATCAAGGATGGCGTAGCCCCTGAATATCAAGGATGGCGTAGCCCCTGGATGTCAAGGATGGCGTAGCCCCTGGATATCAAGTATAGCGCAATGGATATTAAGAATGGCGTAGTGGATATCAAGGATGGCGTACTAGATATCAAAGAATGCGTATCCCTTGGATATCAAGGAAGGCGTACCGGATATCAAGGATGACGTAGTGGATTTCAAGGATGGCGTAGCCCCTGGATATCAGGGATGGCGTTCTGGATATCAAGGATGGCATATTCACTGGATATCAAGGATAGCGTACTGGATATAGAGGTTGGTGTACTGGATATCAAGAATGGCGTACTGGATATCAAGGATGGCGTATTGGATATCGAGGATGTCGTAGTGGATATCAAGGTTGGCATACTGGATATCAAGGAATGCGAATCCCCTGGATATCAAGGATGGCGTACTGGATATCAAAGATGGCGTAGCCCCGTGATATCGAGGATGGTGTAGTGCATATCAAGGATGGAGTACTGGATATCGAAGCTGGCGTAAACCCTGGATATCGCGGATAGCGTACTGGATGTCGAGGATGGCGAACTGGATATCGAGGATGGCGTACTGGATATCAAGGATGGCGTACTGGATATCAAGGATGGCGTACTGGATATCAAGGAAAGCGTAGACCCTTGATTTCGAGGATGGGGTACTGCATATCGAGAATGGCTTACTAGATATCAAGGAATGCGTATCCCCTGGATATCAAAGATGGCGTACTGGATATCTAGGAAGGCGTAGTGGATTTCAAGGATGGCGTACTGGATATCAAGATTGGTGTAGTGGATATCAAGGATTGCGTACTGAATATCAAGGATGGTGTAGCCCCTGGATATCAAGGATGGCGTATTGGATATCAAGGATGGCATAGCCCTTGGATATCAAGGATGGCGTACTGCATATCAAGGATGGTGTAGTGGATATAAAGGATGGTGTACTGGATATCAAGGATGGCGTACTGGATATCAAGGATGGCGTACTGGATATCAAGGATAGCGTACTGGATATCAAGGATGGCGTATCCCCTCTAAATCAAGAATGGCGTACTGGATATCAAGGATGGTTTAGTGGATATCAAGGATGGTGTACTAGATATCAAGGATGGCGTACCGGATATCAAGGATAGCGTATCCCCTGGATATCAAAGATGGTGAAGTGAATATCAAGGATGGTGTACTGGATATCAAGGATGGCGTACTGGATATCAAGGATGGCGTAACCCCTGGATATCAAGGATGGCGTACTCGATATCAAGATGGTGTAGCCGCTGGATATCAATGATGGCGTACTGGATATCGCGGATGGTTATCGAGGATGGCTCACTGGATATCGAGGATGGCGTAACCCCTGGATATCGAGGATGGCGTAATCCCTGGATATCGAAAATGGTGTACTGGATATCGAGTATGGGCGTAATTCCTGTATATCAAGGATGGCGTAACCCCTGAATATCAAGGATGGCGTAACTCCTGAATATCAAGGATGGCGTAACTCCTGAATATCAAGGATGGCGTAACTCCTGTATATCAAGGATGGCGTAACCCCTGAATATCAAGGATGGCGTAACCCCTGGATATCGAGGAGGATGGCGTACTGGATATCGTGGATGGCGTACTTAATATCGAGGATGGCGTACTGGATATCGAGGATGGCGTACTGGATATCGAGGATTGCGTACTGGATATCGAGGATGGTGTAGACCCTGGATATCGAGGATGGTGTAGCCCCTGGATATCGAGGATGATCCATGATATGACGTCCGTGACAACGAAATGACGTCATATGGCCAGTAACATGTACCATAAGGAAAATGATAATTGCAACAATTACAACACGATCTGTTATAAGAGACTGTCTTACAAACTCTTTTAATTGCGTTTGTTTACAATATTATAAATTTGATAATGGCTTATGAAAGACCTTCTGATAAACGATTTTTTCGGATATCGATTCCGATTGGTTATTGTCATTTTCAAAGTTTATTCTCATTAATGGACTTTCAGACCCACGTTCTAATATATGATGTTTTCCACACTGTTCCTTCTCTCCGTCGTAATGGTCTTTTCTTGGTCTACCTTTCGGTTTTGTTGGTGATTGCGATCCGCCTTTCTGCATGACCTGTTGAAACAAAACACGAGTACAGCTTTAATTCCGTGCAGACTATTTTATGATCTTTTAATGAAATTATCGAAACCAAAATCCCATGTATATCTTTTCAAATATGTGTTTTCCTTTTTAGTTTCAAAAACATCAATCTCAATATTGAGTGATCCACGAAACCGTTTAATTAATTTTTTTAACAAAAGAAATAGTTAAGCAATGAAGAACAATCGTAGAATATTTATCAAACAAGATTTAATATGCATTGAAGTTGAATACAATGATAATTATGTGTTGGCTTTAACGACTCCCAGATTGTTAAATAAAGGTTGGAGGAATCACCCGTTAATGTTTTCAAAATATTACCAGAAAGGACTATAAATAGTTTGGGCCTTATTTGGCCCCCAAATCCATCGAAATTAAAAATCTTGAATAGAACTTTTAAAATGACTGTTTATTTAATTTCACTGAATATTCAACTTTGAACTGTTTACCATGGCAACAATAATTTGAAATACTGTACAACTACATATCTTCATGAAAATATTTAAGAAGTATTCAAAATTAAAGAAACAGACGTTTGAAAGTTCATTTAAAGGTTTTGAGTTTTGATGCATTTGGGGGCCAAAACACGCCCAAATCTTACATAGTCCTTTTAAGTCTTTGTTTAGGTGCCTTACTATAAAGTTCCATTAACATTCGAAAATGACAATAAACGTTGGCCGTTCTGCTTTAAACATTCGTGTAACATTAATATACAGAGACCAACCTACAACTTGCAGTTATCTGCCCTTACCATTTTTTTCCACTTCATCCGTCGGTTTTGATACCACGTTTTGACCTGGATTTGCGTGAGACCCAGACTGTCGGCCAGATCGAGTCTCTCTGGTGTAGACAGATATTTCTGTCCCTCAAAACGCTTCTCTAAGCCCATGAGCTGTAGGTCCGTGAAAACAGTCCGGCTCCGCCGACATTTCCTTGGCTTCATCAGACCTTCCGCATCTCCAGGCGTCCTTGACCTTATATAAACCGGAAGTGGAATAGGCACTGTCATGGCGTCCCTGAGATCCAACATGCTATCAAGTGGAAACCCTGTCAAGGAAACAGAGAAATAAGATTTGATTAATAGGAAGTGGTCAGTGAGTACTACTTACCACTTACACGTCAGTATTACGAATTAGAGTAGAAAACCTTAATACCAATATACAGCATTTGATATAGCGCCCTATCTAGCTAACATAAGCCACTCTAAGGTGCTGTACAGTACATAGATATACAATCAATACAAATAGCATATACATTAATAAATACATTTTTTGAGGAATTCGTAGAAGCTGCCTTATCAGGCGCTAACTAATAGGTATATGCCACCTCGCTTATACCTCCCTATGTGTGTATGCCTGTGTGTGGCCTGGAGATGTAATGTGTTCTGTTTGTAGTGGGGCCGTGCTTCCAACGGCATCATTTACAGTGCCAACTGCACTTGAATGCTACATTACAGATACCGCAATATTCAGACCAATTTATGTGTATACCCCACCTGGGCTGTTAGAGTTGTATGGGCAGGACAGACAGACAGACAGACAGATAACTTCTTCCGCGTTGACGATGTAACGACACTTTTCATTGGTTAATAGCCCTGAATAAATGGACAATAGACCATGTGCGTGCATATATTATTTTCCAATATACAAACGCTCTTCCAAAACCTCCCTCGCAAATGTACCAGTAAATAAGCGAGTTGTCGAATGAGGGTACATGCATTTCACTGTGTATGTATTTGAAGATTTTCTAGCGGACAAACCAAAATAAATATATTTAACGTCTAGATCTACTAAAAACCTATCAAGCGCTCATGGCCTGAATGTTTCTCTGAATTCACCGCGAAGGTGACTAGAAAAAGTGTTTGTTAATATGTGAAATGCTGATTTCATGTGTTGACGAGCGATGTCGATAAATTGATGGATTTGATTGATTGAAATAAACATCTAGCATAATGTATGACGTCAGTCAGTGTTTATTGTCTATCGCCTGTCGACCAAATGGCTACTGAAAAAAGAAAATCTTCCCCAAAAATCTTCAGGTCAAATTGACTGCACACAGGGTCAACAATGAAATAAAAAAAAACGCGCTGCTTGTTGTGAAATGTAGATATGTAGGCATCACGTGATCGCGCGCAAAAGAACAGTTTAATTTAAGTAATTAGATTATATCTAGGTCACTTTGCTTATCACGGGCGTATGGACACTAACGTACACAAAAACAAGGCTTTTGTTACATTTGTTTGGTAGAATAGATATAATCAACATATGTTTGTATATATTATGGTGTAATAAATAACTCGAGATTTGCAAATGTTGAAAAGAGGCCTTCGTTAAATACTTGTTTCAACATTTTCTCGACCTCGTTATATGCGTTGATCATTTCTTAAATATCTATAGTCTACGCTGATATTCACTCAATAACCAATGTCTCCGGAAACTAGACACAACCTGAACATATAACGTAACACTCCATTACGTAGACAATAGTACAAGAGGGGGAAGCTTAGCTAACACAATTACGTGACGTCACCAGTAATAATAATACATGATAATTCGAGGTTCTTGTATATACCGCTTTAACACAGCCTAGTTCGAAGGTCTTCTTAAAGCGGTTCACAAATTATTATCCGTGATTAAGGGCCTTTGCAACCAGCCAATATCTGTCTCAGCTCCATGGGGAGCATACCGCCGGTGCTGCCAATTCGACGCTCACAGGTAGCATTCTACAAGTCTAGCACTGCCCAACCACGTACTCATTTACAGCTGAGTAGACTGTAACAAGCGGAGAAAAGTATCTTGCTCAAAGATACAACAACGTGCCGTGCCGTGACAAGAACTTGTAACCCTTCGGTCACGAGCACGGCGTCCTACCACTAGACTACCGTGCCTCCTAAAGTCCTTAACTGTAGGTGTGGGCCGAGTAAGTCAAGAATTCTGCAAAAGGTTTCTGGCTGTTTATTTTATTCAACCGACCACACGTGAAGATTTTAATTCGGAATGTGTATCCCTTCATCCGACTAATGTATAAACATTTATGAAAGTTTCAAACACTCAAAGACAAGTTATCTAAATATAAGGAATATATTTCTCTTTTGGTCGGGTTATGAGGGATAACAACTAGTAGATGGTGACGTCACAAAATCCAAAAATCGACAAACATCTCAATGTCAATAATAGGGACCTGAATATATATCTTTCCGTTTGTTAGATTTATGGAGTGTTATTATGTAACGAGAGTCTAAAGAAAAAAGATCCAACAAGAATACCCGTCCTCATCTAGTCTCGTTCAACCAGGCGCTTGATCACGTGTAGCTTTCGCAGACAATAAGAGTCTGCCTGGTTGAACGAGATTAGTCATCATCTAGTATACCCCCATGTATGTAAAGAATATCTCTCTATAAAGCACACCTGGATGTAAAGAATATCTCTCTTTAAAGCCCACCTGTCTGTTAAGAATATCTCTCTAAAATACCCACCTATCTATAAAGAATGTCTCTCTATTACAGCCCACCTGTCTGATAAGAATATCTCTCTATAAAACCCACATGTCTATAACGTATCTCTCTATAAAGCACACCTGGCTGTAAAGAATATCTCTCTATAAATCACACCTGTCTGTTTAGAATATCTCTCTATAAATCCCACATGTCTGTAAAAAAAGTCTCTCTATAAAACCCACCTATCTATAAGAATGTCTCTCTATTTAAGCCCACCTGTATATAAAGAATATCCCTCTATAATAAAGCCCACCATGTCTGTAAAGAATGTCTCTCTATAAAACCCACCTATCTATAAGAATGTCTCTCTATTTAAGCCCAACTGTATATAAAGAATATCCCTCTATAATAAAGCCCACCATGTCTGTAAAGAATGTCTCTCTATAAAACCCACCTATCTATAAGAATATCTCTCTATAAAACCAATATGTCTATTAAGAATATCTCCCTATAAAACCCAGTCTGGAAAGAATATCTCCCTCTAAAGCCCACCTATTTATAAAGAATATCTTCCTATATCTTCTTATTAACTTTTCATGTCTATAAAAATATTCGCCCTATTAACCCCACCTGTCTACAAAGAATATCTCCCTATAAAGCCCACATATCTTTAAAATATTTCCTTATACAACCCACCTGTAAAATTCGCCTCAATTTGAAGATTTTCTGACAATTAAGAAGAAAGAAATTATGTCCCATGGATATAAACTTGTACCGACAGGATCGAAAATGGAGTTACAGACTGATTAGATTGTTTGGGCTCTCGCTACAATTTAAGCAGATTTGCCTGTGTAGTTATTTATACGAAATGTTTCATTTTTCTCGATTTTGGTCCACTTCCCCCTCAACACATTTTCATTTGTTTAATCCAATTGACGTTATAAGTTGCACGAAGGTTCGAATAGACTATGAATATTACAAACACAAGTTTACTTAAAACTAAAATCCGGCGTTTTAAAAAGTTAACGGGACATAGTGGGGTTTTTTTAAACAATCATCAATTATGATTTTTTTTCAATATGTACCTTAGTTTTAATGTTTTAAATTTGACTTTAGCAATAATACACACACAGACGGTGATCAGACACAAATTAAACTCCGGGATAAAAAAGTTGATTTTTCCTTTCATTTCAACAACACTGTACCTAGTAGCAGACGAGCTGTGCACGTGACACGCGGTACACATACAGCAGCGTGTAACACATCCTCGATATCCAGGGGTTACGCTCACTTTCGCTCTCTGCATCCCTGGAATCATCCTCGATATCCAGGGGCTACGCTAACTTTCGCTCTCTGCACCCCTGGAATATGTCATAGCAAAATTGAAGGCTCAGTGTGCGCCATCTTGTTGATGAGACAAGAAGACTAGTTCGATCCTTTGATATACATCAAAAGAATCTCGCGGTCGCGTAACGGTAATAATTGACAGGTTTTAAAGTCGGGCGTCTCTCTTTTGTAATATTCAAAGGACAGGCATCAGACTAGCGATTGGTCAGGTGGTTTTTTACCTCAGACCAATCAAACAGCTATCTTCGTACCTTCAATCTTGCTATGACATATTCTTGGGATGCAGAGAGCGAAAGTGAGCGTAACCCCTGGATATCGAGGATGTGAGTAACATAACACTACCCAAAGTGGTTCAATTTTGATTGTTGACCCATGATATAGTAAATTCCTGGGTGTTTTTTTGTATTTTCACACAAAGTCATGCTAAGGTGGTTACTTTCCAAAAAACATACGTTTGCATGGATTCATGGAGATTTGTTTCAAAAATTAGGATTATAAACTCGGAACGAAATCGCTTCCTTTATTTATATTATCTTTTATTTTGTGATGACGAGTTCCCTAAATAGGACACCATATCAAAGACTGTGAAATGTTTGTTAATTTATAGAAATTAGTTTAAACTTTATTTTATCATCGGTGTAATATTCCAGTAATACAAACATGGTATACTAAATTTAATCCGTCTCCTTTTTTTGTAAAATCAGCGATTGGACGGCACTGGCTAATGTTATACATATAAATATAAGTATATGAAAGAGAAGAGGATGGGGAAGGAAGGAGGGAAAGAGGTCAAAAGGGTTTTAAAGAAAATGTTGTGGCTACACTGTATTTTGTAAGCATAGACAGTCACTGGCCAAAACCAGATCTGGAGGTATTATTGTTTATGTTAAAAATGAATATGTCAGATATATATCTCATTTAAAAACAGACAGCAACCACACATTATGGCTTAAAATGAAAGGTACAATGTTTAACATTGATGGTAACGTTTTATTTGGTACAATGTATATACCTCCGGCTAATTCAAAGTACTCATCATCAGAATTGTTTGAAGATGTTGAAAATGAATTGTTGTCGTTTAGCCATGATGTTAAGTGTATTTGTCTTCTTGGGGATTTTAACAGTAGAACATCCGACTCTCACGATTTTACAGACATCGTTGATGGAGATGATGATGAAAATGATGATATTGGCAGTCCTGATGTAAATAAACTTGAATGTATACATGTACCTAAGGTAAGGTGTTCTACAGATAAGGTACGGAATGATTATGGAAGGCGTTTGTTAGATATTTGTAAACACTGTAATATTTATATTTTAAACGGACGCATGGGAGAAGATAGAGGTATAGGTAAACCAACCTGTAAAAATGCAAGTGTTGTAGATTATTGTATAGGTAATTTTGAATTTATTAAATTAGTAGAAGATTTTTCGATACAAGAATTCTCTTCTTTATTGTCTGATGTACATTGCCCAATTCACATTTGTCTATGTATTAATCAAAATGTACACTTAAATAACAATGGTGATACTGTTGATTCTGAAGGTCAGAGGTTTTTATCAAGACCAAAGAGATGGAATACTGATTCGAAAGATATTTTTGTAAAACATGTGGCTGATAGAAAACTATATATAGATAGCATTATTGATGGTATGGATGACACTGAGAATGTTGTAAATTTGGATTTTATTAATGACACTGTACATAAATTATGTGAAATTTTCATCGGTGCTGCCAAACATGCTTTTGGAAATACCCAACCCAATAACCGCACTAAAAATAATTTCAATTTTAAAAAACCATGGTTTACCAAAGAATGTAAATCTGCTCGACAAAATTACAGAAAAGCCAAAAGATTTTATAAAAGGTATGGGGAAATAAGTTTAAAAGAGGACTTATATGATAAGGAGCGTAAATATCATAAAACACTGAGCACTGCTGTCAAGAATCATAAAACTCAGATTAAAAGCAAATTAAAAAATCTGAGGACTAGAAATCCGAAAGAATATTGGAAAATAATAAATAAGGGTGCTCCAAAGAAAAACACATGTAAGGCAAATATCGATGATCTTTTTGACTTTTTTAGCAAAAGTTTCAATAATGATTTTGATGGTGATGACAATCATATACTGTCCCTTGATGAACTCAAAGAGTTGTCTAACCTTGAAACTAATACCTTTATAAATGGTCCAATTACTCCAAGTGAAATTTTGAAATGTGTCAATAGATTGAAATCTAATAAGGCTGTTGGTGATGATTTAGTATGTAATGAATATATCAAATCAACTACTGACATAATGCTTCCATTATATGTTAAAATGTTTAACTATATACTTGATTCTGGTAATGTACCAGAAGCATGGCTTATGGGTAATATTATCCCCGTGTTTAAAAATAAAGGTGATATTGTATGACGCTAAAAACTATAGACCAATCACACTGGTCAGTTGCCTAGGTAAACTATTTACAGCTGTAATTAATGAGCGTCTAAATACATATGCAGACAATGTAGAACTTATACTTGAAAACCAAGCAGGTTTTCGTAGGCAACATTCTACTATAGATCATATATTTTCTTTATACTCTTTAATTCAACTTTCAAAACAATTCAAAAACCGTATGTATTGTGCTTTCATAGATTTTGAGAAAGCGTTCGACACTGTCTGGAGAATAGGGTTGTGGAATGAATTAATAACAAATAATGTAGATGGAAAATGTTTTAAAGTTATTGTTAATATGTACAATGGAATTAAGGCTAAAGTTATGAAAGATGGAACATTCTCCGATATCTTCACCTGTAATTCCGGGGTTAGGCAGGGTGAAAATCTTTCTCCAATTTTATTTTCATTGTATCTAAATGACCTTGAAATGTGTTTAGAATCTAATGATTGTACAGGCCTATCAAATTTGGGGGGGAAACTTGAGAATGAGTTACAAATATATCTCAAGTTGTATGTAATGTTATATGCTGACGACACTATTTTGTTAACAGTCACCCCAGAAGATTTACAAAAACAACTTAATGTGTTTTATGATTATTCAAAATTGTGGCATCTTAAAGTCAATAACGATAAAACAAAAGTGATGATATTTGGCAGAGGGAGAGTATCCCAAAATATACGTTTTACTTATAACAGAAATGAAGTAGAAATTGTGAAAAATTTCAAATATCTTGGTGTTCATTTTACTCAAAATGGTTTCACGCAGTTAAATATTAGACAATTATACTATAAGGGCCTTAGAGCAATGTATGGTGCTATTGCTAAATGCAGAGACCATAATCTATCAATTGACTGCAAATTAGATATTTTCGATAAAGCTATCAAGCCTGCCATGTTGTATGGTTGTGAAGTCTGGGGTTTTTGTGATTACAAACTTTTAGAACGTTTACATTTAAAATTCTGTAAACATATTCTTCAGGTGAAAACATCGACACCCAATTTCATGATTTATGGGGAATTAGGAAGATTTCCCCTGAGGATAAATATCAAAGTTAGAATGATTGGATTTTGGACCAAATTGTTAGAACCAATACCTAATAAGTTAAGTAATAAAATGTATAAAATTATTATAAACTATAATACTCAATGGTTGAATTGTATTAAAAATATCCTTGTTGGGTGTAATTTAATAAATATATTTGAAAGTCAAGAATTCCAAAGTACCCAATGGTTGAAAAATACAGTTTTCCATACACTCAAAGATAAATTCATTAATAATTGGAGAAGCGATGTTTTCAATTCACCTAAAGGGACCAATTACAGAATTTTTAAAAATGACTTAGTATTAGAAAAATACCTGCTAGATCTCCCTCCAAGACTAGCAAATGTTTATTGTAAATTTAGAATTTGTAATGTAAAATTTCCTATTGAATGTGGTAGATGGAATAACATTCCAAGAGAAGATAGAAAATGTATTTTTTGTGACCTAAATGAAATTGGAGACGAATATCATTATTTATTTAATTGTAATGACCACCAGATAGTGCAAAACAGAAGAAAATTTATGTCGAGATACTATTTTGAAAGTCCTAGTACTTTAAAGTTTAATAATTATTTAATTATGTCAATAATGAAGAACTAATTTCACTTATAAAATTCCTTAAGCACATAATTGAGCGAAATAACACTTGCCATTAACACCATGATTTATATGTAAACTGTACTATATATATGTATATAATTATCTACACTGTAACCAGTTTGCGAGAATAAAAACTTGTCATGGTCATTGTCGAGGGTAAAATATATAGCAGAGTAAACTTACTGCATTATGAGAAGGGGCACTGGTATAAATTAGAGTGTCTGTGCCGCAATACACGTTATTTTATTTTAATACTTTTGTTGGGCAATGCTCAAAATGTTACTGGCAAGTTTTTTTGCCCTAATTTCCCGACATGCCTAATTAGAGGTTTCCGAATCATATTTCAACAATTTTGTATTTCTTTATATCATATTGTAAATGTAAACAAAACATAAAGTGTATATTATAATTGGACGTTTTCGTGCATTCTAAAACAAATCACAAGTTTTATCTGGAAACCTTTCTGTCATTGTACCAATTTGGGAATTCTGTCCTTGTACCAATTTGGGAAACGTCATCTTACACATATTTTCTAACAAATAAAATCGTTTGCAAATATCCAAGGTATCAGTGTATTTCCCCAATGTTCGCGAAAATATTGTAATCTGTATCTCTGAATTATTAAAATGAATAAATACATAACGTACATTTTGAATTTATATATACATATTCATAAACAAAATCCGAATATAATTTTCAGACTGATTGTCGCTGAATATATGTTAAATCAATCCATTTTTGTTTTGAAAACAAAATTGAACTGGATAAGTCAGTTATGTTAACATGTAAGATATAATTGAAGAAATCCCCAGAAATATCAAAACTTTGGAAAGAATATTTCACTTTTTCTGCACAATAAAACAAAAAAGTATTATTCCCTTTCATTAAATCTAAAATAGTAATAAGTCAAACTTCGATGTTTCAAACTTAGCAGGACCATCGTGAAAACTTCGAAACATCGAGACTTGTACTCACGAATGTTGAACTTCGAACATCTTTGAGGTCCTGTATATATACCGCATCAGAGCGAACGTAATTGTTGAATGACAAAATATAGGACAATATATGTTAATGTGTCATAAATAGATACTGGTTTCATGTTATAAGAACAAACTATGTTTCATGTATTTATGCACTGTAGTTTCCATGTTTAAGTGTTAAAATGAACCCAGATATTTCAATTTTCTCCGGTACAGGTAATTATTTAACTTCGATTTATAAGTTTATATGTTTTCCAAATGGTCGACGCGAACCTTGATTAAAGTTCGAAATAGCTAGAAATTCGACTCAAAAATGTTTGATTCATAAATGGAATATCAGTAGGGTTTTTCAAAAAAATCCGGACTTTGTCGTAAGATCGATAAATCAAGAATTTCGGATTTTCGAAGTTCGATTTATGGAAGTTTGTATATGAAACTGCTCTTTATTTTATATATATATATACAACGTTTATGTGTGTACATTTGAGTCGAATGATTAAGACATTGATTTAATTAAATGTTGCGTTTTTATTTTCATGAATTGTTTATGAATAGATTCTTTAATACGAATTATGATGAGAAAGAAAGCATCATAAATCCGACAAAATTTATTGTGTAATTGAAGAGAAAAACCAAAAAATATATATATGCCTTCAAATAATTCATTTACCTCCTATGAAAGATGCAAGGGGAAATGTTCTAACACTGAATCTAACAGTATGAAAAAAATAACAAACAAAGACCAATGTATATAAGTTTTTGTTAAAAACTGAACTAGGGAAAGATCAAAGCGGTTTTTGTTTTCTTTGTTAAAATAACAACATCTGTTATTAAAAAAAAGCATCTGATGGAATCCGTTTTTAGCATTTCTTTTAAGCTTACCTCTGTGCATAGCAGTGAAGAAACTGGCCTGGTACGGGGACATCCCTAAAGTGGGCGTGGTTGGTGTCCCGACGGCACCGGACTGGTAGGGTGGGTTCAGGTAGGATTGGGACACACCCATCAGTGTCTGGTCTGTCTCGGAGTAGAATCTCCCTGGCTGTGTCGGATTTGAAGTCCCGACTTCCGATCCCAAAATATCCCGGATAAAAAACGACGATGACGATGATGAGGAAGAGGAGAGTTTTTGAGGATACATCTGTCCATACATGTTGATGTCCTCTTTTGTTTCTCCTTCTTCTTCTTCTTCTTCTTCTTCTTCTTCTTCTTCTTCTTCTTCTTCTTCTTCTTAATTTATCAATAAAATTGATGAAACTGACTTATTAACACTATTCGCTTGTTTAAGGGTCCTTAAATGTCAACGAAAAATGCATTATTATTACTTTTGAGCACTCGGTATAATTACGTTTCTCGAGTCCAAGAGTCCACGACCTTATGAAATGTCAAATCACAGTTGTTGGGGTATTTTCCAGTTGTTTTATTTCGTGATTTAAAACAGCACTGTGACCCCAATTCATGAAAGACGCATGGGAGTTTTTCACCAAATTTCAGCTATCTACTTTGTGTATGTAATCCAGTTATCTTTCGCAAATAGTATTCTTTTTTAGCATCTGTTAACTTTCATAAAAAAATATCAGTCCATGATGAAATGTTGTCCTGGTGACGATTGGTTCACATTCTTCATAATATCTTTTTCACGTCTCATATTTCTAAAACTCACCAAAAATGTTATGAGTTGTGATTTCCTGTGAAATTTCCGTGTGCGTGTTTCTCCTAACTTTCTTTCTTCTTCTTTGTTTTTTGTAGCAAATATTATACATCCACATTCGACCCAATCAGTGTTCTGCACAATTTTCCATCCTCAGATTTCAGTTGCCAAACACACTTCATCCGATTAAAATTCCCAAATGTCTTTCTACTTCCTTACTGCGGTATTTAAGTTTGAAATATAGACATTATGTTATTCGTGAAGAAAGTCTCCTATTGCAGCGGGCGAAAATTCCACTTGCATCGCCATTGAGATGTCTGTTAGTAATCTTTCGGTAAGAAAATATCACTGAAGAATAAACCAAATCTACACAGAAAAGTGATTAAAAACACTTCCTCTCTATAAAAATAAATCCTCGACACGTGTTAATTCACAAGGTGGGTGTTCGGAAGTTTTTCCTCCCAAAACGGTGTCTGTTTGTATAAAAATATCATTAACATGTTCAAATGTTTGCAAACTTTTGTCGAGGTCATGGCACGACCCGGACCGGCGAAAGTAATATTTATATAAGCAAAAGACTGCAGCGGCCAATCAAATGCCTCGTTATCGGAGTCGGTCTGAGGTAATTAACCAATCAGCACGCATTATCGCTAAATAAATAATTCTGCGGCGCTATACTTTCAACATACCATATGTGCTTGTGTAAATAGTGGTTAAGTAGGCGGAGAGGTTTCTTATCGGCTGATAATCGGAAATTAATTCTCTCTGACCGTCCCTCAATCTACGGGTTTATATAATAAACGAGAGAACACCGTTGGAATTAGTTGAAATCACTACAATTCCAGTCAAACTGTAATACGATGCACGCGTACATTTTTCGTTCAGACGTCCGCGCAGCAGGACTTTGTTTTGAGCTAAGGCTGAAATTAGTGTAATTTCGTATGATACACGTATACGTCAATTACAAACGTATTTGTGAAATCATTTATTGTAAACATACGATGTTTATAGCTTTGGTAGAAAATTATATGGACACTGTCGAAATAGCTCCATTTTCATGTTTTATTTCATTTTTTTCCACGAAACTTGGAAGAGGTTTAAATACTTTTAAAAATGAAAAGTCGTTTTTTTAAACTGTATTTTATCATCGTCGTCAAATTGTTGCCAAATCTATTTCGACCTGTCCTTAATATCAACTTAAATTTTATTTTCTAAATCAGAAACATAGTTCCCGCTTTCAAAGCAACATTATCAGAAAGATATACAAATTGAAACTCATTTGACCTTAAAAAGACAATTTAATTCTAGATCTGTTTAGACTCATCCTCAATATCCAGGGGTTACTCTCACTTACGCTCTCGACACCCCTGGAATCATCCTCAATATCCAGGGGTTACTCTCACTTTTGCTCTCTACACCCCTGGAATATGTGTCATAGCAAAATTGAAGGCTCGGTGTGCACCAACGTGTTGATGAGACTAGGATACTAGTTCGATCCTTTGATGTACATAAAAAGAATCTCGCGGTCGCGTAACGGTAAAAATTGATTGACTTTGAAGTCGGGTGTCGCCCCTATGTAATCTTCAAAGGACATGTATCAGCCTAGCGATTGGTCAGGTTTTTTTTACATGAGACCAATCAAACAGCTATCTTTGTGCCTTCAATTTTGCTATTCCAGGGGTGCAGAGAGCGTACGTGAGCGTAACCCCTGGATATCGAGGATGGTTTAGACTATTTTCATCATCGGATGTATTTCAAAAAACAACACTCTTCCTGTTTTGAAAAAAAATGTGGTCAAAGTTGTATATTTTTATTTTTTGTTTTATTTTAAATTTTTTATTTTTTTTGCGTATATATATAAATATATGCCGAAACATCTGTGTGTGATTTGCATAATCCATGAAGTTTTCACGATGTTTCTTCGATATGGTCCATATAAGTCTCAAATATAATCATAGGTCCGTATTTATGAAGCCGTTTTCATGCTCAAGCAAGAATTCTGTACTCAAACAAACCTTCTTGTTAATTGCATTAATTATGTAAAATGGCCAAAACGTCAAGTCTAGACATTGAAAACGGTATTCGGCTTTTAGTATCTCCTAACTTCTTTCAATTTATTTTTTTGGCTAAATTATGTGATTTTGTTTATTACTTTATCACTGAAACAAGAAATTGGTCTTGTGCACAAAGTCTGGGTTTTAGCCAATCGGGAATCGTCGGCACTTTCCGTAAACACAAAATATTGTATTTTCTCGCTTACGGAAAGCGCCGACAGTTCCCGATTTGGTTTTAACATGAGACTTTGTTTCATGAATACGGGCACTGGTCATTCCTAATAATTGAATTTCAAAAGACAGACAAAACAAGCGCGTAGTTTCATTTCTGATTTTAGAAAGGAAATACTCACAACACAACGTTAAGCCGTAATTCCATCGCCAAAGAGTTTTAACCAATCTGAACAAATACATTTACTACAAGTAACTTTACTAAAGCTTCGATCGCCGTCATAGTCCTTAGCAGCGTATTGCAATAGGCAATAGACACTTCCCGGCTGGCATTTTATTAGAATTTTCTCAGCGAAAAAAAATAAAAACTGTCCTTTCGCAAGAAAAATGTACGTCCCAAAGTCCGATCCCGAAAATGGAAATGATATAGTATGTTTCATTATCTTTTACTTTCTTCTACATTTTTTTATTATTATTTTTGACGGGGGTGGGGGTTGGGTGGGG